TTTGAAATAAGTTCTTAAAAGTTATTTTTGCTAAAACATAGAACAATAAGTAAAGAAATAAAGCAAACAATTATCTCTTCTAGTTACAACCTTTGTATACGGTTGCTACATGACATAGGTTGCACGTGGAGAATATGAAACAAAAATTTTTTTAGCTTTTATATATACATTTGAATAACTAAAAAATCATAAATTACTACATCATTATCATAGAGTTCCACAATAATTTATCAAGCTTAGTAACTAGGATGTATTTTAGTCAAAAAAGTATGAAATTTCAAGCAGACTAAAAGCACAACCTTCCTCCTTTAAATCTTGGTTCAAAAGAAATGGTGTCCTAAGAATTTAAAATGGCCAGGAAAGCCACTAGGGAGACATTCTGAGCTTCTGATTGGTTATTCATGTCATTTACAGAAGTAAGTGTATTTTAGGAAGTGTTTCCAAAAATGGAAAGAGGTGGGCGGGGTGCCACTGTGTTTGATTTATTACACGAGCAATATCTTAGCAACTAGAAATGATAAGACATTTTTATTTTATATTCTAGCTTGTCAATATCTGTAATTTGAGTTCCTAATTCATATGAAATTACAGACTTAGTATTTTGACTTCACAAACATCTGATATGAACAAGTGCTGCATTCAATATACCATGTGACACATAAAAATCGATGTTCATCTGTGTTTTTTTAATATTTACTTTTGAATTAACAAATGGAGTAATGTATAATACTACAATTTTAATTATATCTACAGTTTGATACCAAACTTATTGACATAAGTACATAAAATAGAAGTTCAGTAAAATTTTGAATGCTTTGAGTGTTTTAAAATACATATACTGTAGTTTTACACTGTAATATAAGTGTTATAAAATAGATATACTGTAGTTTTACATTGTAAAATAAAAGTGTTATAAAATAGATATACTGTAGTTTTACATTGTAATATAAAGTGTTATGAAATAGATATACTGTAGTTTTACATTGTAATATAAGTGTTATAAAATAGATATACTGTAGTTTTACATTGTAATATAAGTATTTTAAAATAGATATACTGTAGTTTTACATTGTAATGTAAGTGTTATAAAATAGATATACTGGTTTTACATTGTAATATAAGTGTTTTGAAATAGATATACTATAGTTTTA